TGCATCTTTCTCGATTTATTTCTATTAAATATGTGCATCATATTGAAGTTATATATTAGATCTTTTTGGCCTTTTTACTTAATTGAAGCAAAACAAAATAGGATGAATGAGATAAGCATTTGGGAGTCCAAACGATCCAAGCAAACTATATTGCTCTAGTTTATTGGTTTAAGTGTGGTTGCTAACTTATTTAACAGCTTTTTATGTACAGGTACAAAAACATTTTTAATTTATTTTAGCAGGAAATTTTTTTCCAAATTGCTGTTCTAGTCATGCAAATACTAAGTGTCTTTTCATAGTGAAAGGAAGCAAGATGACAGACCTGAACTGCAATTCCAGTGTATTTTGTTGTTGATGAACAAAATGCAAATTGAACTAACTGAAAAAAGATTCATCTAACCTAACAAAATGTATTTAAATAATATGAGACTTATAAAGATGACTTTGAGGTTGTGTTACAAGTGGGGTACAGCTATTTCTAGTAAACTTAGCTTTAACAGAGTAACTTTAATACAGTAGAAAAATATCCAGAGCCTTGGACTCAAAGTAAACCCTGGACTCTGAACCTGGTTTATCTGTACTCATTTTTAAATATTTGGAAGCAGATCACTCAGGGTAGCTAGATCAAGTGAATAAATTTCTGCGCAGAGTCCAATATTTAATTCTTTATTTTAATTTTCTTTTTTTTTTTCTCCAGAATTTCAAGGAGAAAACAAACTAGCTGTCTAACACACAGAGAGTAAACGAGCAATTTTTGTTCCCCAGTTACTCCTTCCATCAACAATTTAGCAATTCATATGCCGTATTTCTGTGTTGAGTGTACAGTCTGATTTAACGAAAATCTTTGCAATTTGGAACAAAACTTGAAACTGACTGAAGGCCGGTGAGGGAGTTAAGCAAAGATATTAGGACTTGAGAGGAAAGCAGTTGCAGTCTGTAGCAGCTGTGAAACATGGTTCTTTGCCTTTGCATCAATGCGATGCACTCTCTGATAAAGAGGACTACTCCAGACTGGAGGTAGTCGGAAGAAATAGCAAAATCCACAACTCAGTTCTATGGCAAATATGATGCATGAGAGTTGAAGCAAATTGTTAGCTAAATTGAAATTTGCTCTTGCCTACAAGTATTTAGGCAGCAGTCTGAACCTAGCAACAGCAGAATGCATGTAGACTAACATGTACAAATTAAGCTTTTTTTCCCCCCTAGTTTCTTCTATTCTCTGCTCTTTGAACTTGCATGAGTTTTATGTGATGCCCAGTTACTATGCTGGGCACTGAAGCTTGTCTGTACCAGGCAGTTCTATTGTAGGATGGAAAATATGTTGAAATGTCAACACTTCAAAGCAGTGAAGTGTCTTGTCAGTTAAAGACTGTGCGTCAGTTGCTCATTTAAATTTTTCTAATGAATGCTTAGGAGTACTTGTGAATCTCCTACTGAGGCTAAAGAGGCACTTTTTTGGGGGTTGGAGATGATTTTCCTCTCCAAAGGATGGCCTAGTTTGTGCTACTGTGAAATGGTATGGACACAGAGTATTCAACATGCAGACTTCACTGGTCAGTTTTAGCTGACTAGTTACTGTGTAGCACCAGTCCTGTCCTCCTTTCTCAGTTAACTATAGTATAGTCTGCCATCTTGAAGATATTCAGTAGCCTGAGCCCAGAAAAGCTGGAAAAACCTCTTAAATGTCCTGGATGTAGGTTGTACTTCTCTGACAAATGAAACTTCTGCAATTAAAGGTGCCTTGAACTAAAACTGAGAGCTGTTGTTTCTAGCTAGATGTCTCCAATCTCAATTGTGCTTTAAGAAACCTATAGCAATGTGTCTTTTATCAACAAAATTGCTAAATCCCAAACATTTTCTCTCAGAAGATGACAAATGAGATATCAAAGCACATCTGATTATTGTTGATCTTTCTTAAAATATGATCTGAAGATGCTTGTTCTGATGTGATACAAAAATGTGGAAAAGCACATCCCAAAGAGGAGATTACATTTTCTTTCTTGTTGCTGATGCTAGGTTAATAGGTACTTTGTACTCTTCTTGCAAATGTCTATTTTTGGTATCTATCCAGCTTTTATTTGATCTTCCTGGAGGTGATGGAGCATGTAAGGAGGTGATGAAGGATGACTCAGCCAGGAGAGCTGTAGTTGCTTACCACAGGAACTTTTAAACATGTATTTTCATCCAATCAATGCATAGCAGCATTTTTAACCAACAGGATTTAAATGTGCAGAGGGAGACTGAATACATTACGCTTTCTAAGAGAAGAGTTAAAAGATTTTTGGTAATGTGCTTAGGAGTCAACAATGGTGGTTGCACTTCTTAAGCCATTCGTAGCATTACCTCCCATTTCCTTATGTATATGTAGAAAGTTGAATGTGCAACAAGGCACTACAGTTTAAATCATGGTTAGATGTTTTGTTTAGCATTAGACAGTATCAGCTACCTGAGTACACTAGGGGGTTTTCTTTGGGCAGAATATGCAGTTCATATCTCCTAATGAGCTCAAAACTCTACAGTATAGAGACAAGAGTATTTATAGACTCAAACAGAGCTCTGTATTATGCATGGTATTACAATGGGCCAGTCTTTTCTCTTTTTTCCCCTTTAAGATCCTTGCTGTGTGGACGTTGAAAAATAATCTGATTAAAACAAAACACTACAGAAGTACACTGAAGGGAGAATTAATGGAATTTGTTTTCCATAATCCCTGTTAACAAGGTTGACCTTACAGAAAGGTTTGTGGTTTTTTTTTTTTTCTTTTCATTGATCTTGTGACTATCCTTTTCCCATTGCTCTATTTCTAAAATTTACAGTAGCTACAGCAGCAGCTGATTAGGGGAAATGCTGCCTGCTAGATGGTATGAGGGACTAAAGAAGAAGATAGGTTTCATTAGTGAATTGACATGACTGTTTGGTTTGTGACTCTCCTCTGAGGAGATTACAGGGATTTTCAATATACTGGGATTGTCCAGTTTGACCAGAGGTTCCTTGTGCTTGCCCTATTGAAGTGCTGCTAGGATGTTTTTGTGTTTAGTTTGGTGGGTTTTTTTGTGGTTTGTTATTTTTTTTTTTTTCAGTAGTAGCTTCAAAAATGTGCAACACCTCCACAGAATGTCCTAGAATATAATTTTTGTCCTAGTTGATCCAGTATAAAAATAGCTTCTAACTAATTCCTTCTGCTTTAGCAGTAGACATTAATTCCCTCAAGTTTAGTACTTTTAATATACGCTTGCGGGGATATTAACATTTTATGAGATGTACAAAAGAATTGAAGAGATGTATGAGTCCATTAAATGAGAGGATTCACATGCCCATGGGTTGTACAAAATCAATTGCAAGAGCAAGACATGTTTCGACAAACTTGCATGTAGTGCTGGTCGGTAAATCCACCCAGCATCCCCTTTCCATCTTCTCCCTGAGGGAATGGCAGTGCCCCACACTCAATTACGTGTCCTGCTTTTTCTCAGCCTGCTTTTGTTGCCTTTTTCAGCTGTCCCATCGCCTTTGTCAGTGCAGCAAGCTATTCAGTGCTTGGACAATTATTTGATGCTCATTGGCCTAATTCTGCCAGACCTTCTCCAAACTCCCTAAGAAGAGGGAATATAGGGAAGGCTGCTCCTCCACACTGCAGCTGCAGCTGAGTAAATGTATGCGGCTTCTCAGGAGGGGCTTCAGTTATTGCAGATACTCAAGCAGTTACACAGTTTAATATTGTGCTTGTTTCAGCATTGCATCTATTATGTAACTTGTACTAGTACTTCTTTTTTCTGCCATGAGAGTTATGCATGATTCTTAATGCCAATTCCTGTCCTCCTTCCCTTCATGCTTGTTTCCTGGCAGGGCTGTGCATTTAATGGAGGGCCAATGCCTGTGATGCTGGAATGTGGTGGCCAAGCCCCTGAGGCTGCCAGTTCCACTGGCAGGGCATTGCCTACTCCTGCTGATTTATGCTGGCCTTTTATTAAATGGCAGATACAGTCTCCATTTTTCAATATCATACCAAACGCTTTCACTTTTCCCCGCAATACGTGTTGGGAGCGTATGTGGGAACATAGTTCTGTTCTTGGGAATTGAGGACCTCTCCTTTAAGTCTTTCTTTGTGATGGAGCTATGAGTGTGTTGCTCTGAGAGTGGAACACATTTGCACTCTGTCTGTGAAGGGGTTTTGCTGCCCACAAATGCTGCATAGTCACTTAAAGGGATAAAAGTTAATTGGAAGATCCCCAGCACTTGTGACATTAGTTGCTTTGTGTTGCCTTGTCTTCTGTGTTCTAGTCATTGCTATATTAAATGGTGGCTGGACATGGATTAATGGGAAGGACTTATAGTCCTATTCTGCATAGGGGGAAAAGGCAAGAAGAATAAAAAATATTTCAGAGGGCCAGGTTTCCAGCAGTATAAATAGACAAAGGTTTGGTGAGTAAAGGAAGCTCAAAGTTGAAGGCAAATACTTTTTCCACTGACTATTATTATTGAGGTCATGAGAGAGAAGGTAAAGAATCAGAGCACTAGAGTTTTGGGGCAGCAGTTTAAATCTCTCTCATGTTCCACAGTGCAGCATGGTCCTTTGATTATGGATAATTCCTTTTTAAAATAAAACCATATTTATGGAAGCCCCATATGTGTATTTACTACAGTACACAATAAAAACAATAAAGAAAATGCCCTAGTTTTCTAGCTTGTTTAAACTGGCACATGGTCTGGCTTTTATCAGGCAATGCATAAAAAACTGTATTAAGTTCCTGCATTTATGAAACAACATTAAGATCTGAAAGGTTAAGTAAAGCCAAGAGCATCTCTTCTTCATTACTGTAGTAAGTTCCTTATGAAAAATATCTCATATATGTTCTGACAGCTCAAATAAATCATTCATGAGTTACTGATTACTGTTGTTGTTGTTGTTTGCAGTGCCTCCAAAGCCGATTCATCTGCAGAAGGTGTCACCTGTTACATACCAAACCCCTAGGCATAAAGCTTTATCAAATCAGAACCCAAGCATGGAGGAGGAGACACACACCCCTGTTTTCAGTGTCACAAAGGAGAAGTCCAGTAAAGTGTCAGATCTCATCAATCGTTTTGAGGGAGGCAGGTATGTAACAGAATTCTGTTTGTGACTCTGTTGTGTGTGCACTGTTGGGCTTGAATCCATGAGGAAGAACACTGGTACCATGGCAGTGCTCAAACACATCCCTGCCAGAGGATCTGATGGCAAAACTGCACATGATTTTTAAATGGAGCGAGCTAATTGTATATTTGGCTTCACAAGGTGTGTTTTTTCACAAGATGCAAGTCTTAAATTTTCAAACCAACCAAACAAACTTTTAGCATTTTTAAAGCATTCTGGAAAGCGTCAGAAGTTCAAAATAAGTGCTGATTTTTAGAATCAAACACAAGATAATCTTAAATTTTTTTTGTTCTTGCAGAAAAAAAATATTTTATAAGCAAATAGAAAAACATGAAATCCTGATTTTCTTTTTGTCTTAATCTGTTCGGATCATTGATGTGAAGAGGGTGAACTGTATGACAGTTATGTATTATTTCCATTGACATGTGATACATTCTTTCAGCTGACTGCTTTGTAAAAATTGGTGACTTTGGTGGAATAGCTTGGTGTTCTTGAGTTTTGATACTGCCTTTTACAGGAAATATTTGAACCTTTAAGAAGCATGAGGCACAGTGAACTCTGCTTTCACAAAATGGTGTTACTTGTTTGTCTTTAACCAGATTTATGTGACAAGCATTATGGTAAGCTCTGAAACAGTTGTTATGAATATATCTGCTCTGTATGAAGAGTGACCTTCCAGGAAACCCATGAGAGAAGAACTGCTCAAGAAACAGTCCAGTGACAGCTGACTGTTGCAAGTTCTGTAGGTGGCTTTCCTGTTTCCTCAGGGTACTGATGTTCTGAAGAGATGTGCCGTACAAGAATGAACGCATGATGTACAACAGAGCAAGTCCTGAGGAGCCAGAGTATTAAGGCTTTCATTGAAAGAATTTCTCCTCAGGATGGGGGAGATTTAGTCCTTTACACAGAAGCAGCTGAACATTGCAAAAGTACATTTGTCTACTGGAATAAAAATAATTTCAAAGCTTCATCTGGAAGAAACTTCCGTCATTAGGCAGATATGTGATTGCTCTTGTCATGACAGCTGCTCAAATATGGGAAGAGGAAATGAGTGCAGCCCTGAAGGTCCTGTGAATTTTAGCACAGGTCTCTGGTCCTATTATCTCACTGTTTCCCAGTCTTCCTCCACAGCATCACCCAAGTCTTTTTAACAGTATAGTATCCTTAGAAAAAACATTTTTATTCTTTCTGAAAGGAAACTCCTCAAGTTCATTGTGCCCTACACCAGTGAGCCCTACATTTCTCTTCCCTAGACGTGCATTATGCATTGTACAGGAACTTTTTCAATATTATGCAATTAACGGAAGCTATAAAGAAAGCAATGAAAACTTTATTTGTAGACTTTGAAAAGTAAGGACATTTTGTTTTGGGGACTAGGGTAGGCTGAGTTGCTTTTTCGCCAACATTGTTCATTAACTGCACTCAATAATATTGGCCCAGCGATTAAATTCTCCTCAACTCTGTAATCTCTGCATATGGAAAACTTCCATAATTAGCATCCATTTTACAAACAAGAATCAAGACACTTGAGGATGTAATGAATCAGTATGGATGTCACTTTGGGTTTCCAGTAAGAGATATGTGTTCGTGTGTGTTCCAATGGAATAATGCAGTTCAAGTCTTGATGGCCTGGACTTCCTAATATTAACACAGGAAAAAATGCTTTAGGAGGAACTGGTTATATGGTGCAACTCTGCTACTCCCTATACTGGGGATTTTCTATAATGTCATGTTTAACTTCTCTCACCTATGTTTTATTTGTTTGGTGTTTTTAGCCCATTAAATACTTGTGATTTGAAGAAAGATTCCTCTGCTCTCCACTTTTCTAAATCTCAAGGAAGATATGGGTCAACACCACCACCTCAGCCAAAACTCCCCTCCCAGCACCCACTACAAAAACAGGGAAACGGTAATACCAGCAAAACTCAGGTTGCACAGCCACACACAGCTAACGGAGTAGTAGCACAAGACCAGACAGAAGATGAGGATATGAGATTACAAGATTGTGGTTCTGCTAAGTCCACCCCGATTGTAGATAACGCCGTTGACAGCAGCTTCACAAATGGGGAAAGAGAAAGTACTTCCCAAGAGTCATTGCAAAGTATGGCTGCCTCTGAAGGACAGGCGCTTGACAGCAGCCACAGGACTCCAAGCAGTGATACACTGCTCCCATCTGAAAATGAAACTCTAGAAATTACTACTAACACGAAGGAAGAACCAACAGAGGAAATCAGTAAGCAAGATCAACCTGTGGAAACAAAGGTAAAAGATAAATTGTTTCATTCTTGCTATATTACTACTCTCTATTTACTCTAGATTTTTATTTACAAAAACAGGCTTCCAAGAGCAGGTGAAAAGTTGAAATGCTGAAAAAAAAAGTTTTTCTTTCCTTCCCCTCTCCCTCTTCCTTTCTCTTCTCCCCCACTCCCCACTTTTTCCTCCCCTTTCCCTTTTTTCCAATAGCTATCTGAGGTTTTAAAAAAGTGAGACTGAAATATGTGTACATTGGGCTCTATGCTTCAGCTGTGCCAGACTACAAAGGACATATGTTAGTGGTATATATAAAGTAAAATTCCATGTGCAGTAAACTGCAGCTGACAGGGGTTCAGGCAGAACTGTTGTGTGAGTCCTCAGCTCGGATGTAGCTGTCAGGTCAAAGCTGGAAAGGCAGTGGCAGTCTGCTAGCTATCCGATAGATACAAGTTTAGAGTTTGCTAAGTAGATCCCCTCTTAGCAAGGAGGGCTTCTATCATGGTGAAATTGAGCTTCCACATAAGGATTTAAATAACTAAAGGAAATAAGTGGGTGGAAGAAAATCTGTCTTGCGAAATCGGTAAAAACTTATACATATTTCTACTTCTAAAACTGTGATTGTGCAGTTTGCCTCTTGTACTGAAGCACTGGTGGCCAGTGAACATAATTAAGAAACCTGGTCCAGCTGTAGCTATGTGAGTCATGGCAGGAGGAGTTGGGCTGGACCCTCCTGGCTTTCATCTTCACTGCAGAACTAAAGAGCTGAGCACTGATAAAGCTCGTGAGTGCTTGTCAGGAGTACACCTGCATCAGTTAACTACAGACCTCGCCAAGCCCCTGGGTTTGGTTAGCTAGGGGCCACGTACATGCTTGAGGGTAAGTTCTGTGGGAGGGAGAGGTGGGTCTCAAATTTTTTGTGTATTACAGCATAAAATATCCTGGGTATTGACAAGAAGGTGCTGGGTTGTGTGAGTTTTCTTGTTGTTCATAGTTGTTTTTGGTTTTTTTTCCAGTTATGAATGAGCATTATGATACCCATGTAAACATAAACCTGGTCATAGTCCAAGGCACCTTTAACCTGCCCCACCTCTCATTATGTTTCTATCTCCTGTTTGGTAATGCCTGTTTCCCCTCTCTGTGCCAATAAAGTGCTGAATGCTCCATGGGCAGTGATGTTAAGCTTGAATCCAAGTCACGCAGCAAGGTGCTGGCAGCGTTTTCAGGAAAAAGTACAAATGGGAGGCAGTCCTGCTGTAAAGTCCAGGAAGGAGCTGGGCAAATGTTTATGGCAGCAACCTCATCAAAATCTGTCTTTGTGCTGCTGAGACCAACACGTGTGATCTGTCCTATATTGACCAAGAGTCAAATTGTGAGGTGTGACATGACTGCTACTAGATGTATTATTTGCTGGCACTTGAAGGGTAAAAAAACTGAAACAAACAGAACCTGTGCAGGATGAGTCTTACACCAGCACTGGTGCAGAACTGAATCTGTAAAACTTAACTGGGTGGCAGCAACACTTCCTCAGACACCAGCTCACTTGTCAAACAGGGACATTCCTTTTAGTCTAGTGAGATTAAGCAGCGTGTCTACCACAGACTGATCTATGTGCCACACTTTACAAAATCAAAGACTGATTTAGTTTGTATTAATGCAGCCTGTAGATTGAAACCAGCCCTGTGGAGATCGAAGTAGCTGCTTCTGTGCTCTCTGGAACAGGAGGAGAGTGATGAGGAACAGGAGAGGTCGGGTAGAGCTTTAAGCTCTTTCTGCAGCCAAGCAGGCATTGGGAAGAAGTAAGAGCATTTAGACAGTCTGTGATTTTGCTAAGCACCAACTTTGTCAAGAATCTGAAAACTGGGATGCAGTCCAGCTGAAGTCACACTGCACAGACTAACAACACTCTTCTGCCCTTTTTAATTAAGCAAGTGTAAGTACAGTTGCATAAAAGCAATAGGAGCAGATGCGTGTGAGTCACAGACAAACTTTATGCATCCAAGACACATTTTTTGTTTCTTTGATACTGATGCAAAGTATCTTCGTTGTCTCTTGCATGCCACATTTCCCAATTTGGGGAGGAGAAAAAAACTAATGCTCTTTGTAAACGCCTACATGTACCATAGAATTAAACTGGGGGATGGTGCAAAACCAGAGCAGAAATTACTTTTTAGATTTGAAAAGAAAGCTTATTTTGAAATAATGTTGCTCCTACAATTATTTATTTTCTTCTTGTTACTATGGGTCTGACTAAAGTCAGATCATTGCAGGTTCTGGAAAAGCTGAGGCCAAACTTAGGAAATTTGGCAGTGTTCTGAAACATTTTCCCCAAAAGACCAGAGTATGCTTTTTTCCTCTTATTTACTGAGTTAGTTTGGAAGTCACAAACTACAAATATCACAAGCAAAAAGATAATTAGAAGTGAAAAGTTTCCTGGCTTGCAGCAGAAGCACCTTCTGTCATAAAATTTGGTTTGCCTAAAATGTGGAGGCTGAATAGTTACAAGAACATCCTTATCAATTAACTTCCTGAGTAACATCTTGTGAGAAATCTGGGGCTAGAGCTAACTCAAGACAAGAAGACAAATGCTTGTATTTGTTGTGAGACTGGTAGGAAACGGGTATAGACTACATGCATGCCACAGATGGAGAACTCCTCACGGCGCATCTTTAATAAAGCCTTTACTTGATGTCTTCTTTTAATGGCAGAGGACTCTGGTGTTTCAGGTGCAAAACCTGGTGGAGATTGTGTATTTTCAAATGTAGGGTGAAATTATGGCTTAAATAGGGTGAAACTTCATGGAAAATGCAACTTTCTGCCAGGAAATGTTTTACTGTTGCAGCACTTGAGAGGTTCTACCAGATTCTTCCCTGTTCTACAACTTTATGGTTGTCTTTAACAACAGTAAATCATGAACAGAGCTTCATGATATATTGTCTGCTTCTAGCACCCAATATACATGTGTGTGTCTTCCTGAGAAGAACTACTTCTTTAGGGATACTGGGATCTCTTCTGCTTTTCTTGGTCGCTGTGCAAGAAACTCACTAATTGTTTGTGCAATGGACTGTTGTATAGTGTTAATGAAAACTGAGGACTCTTAAATTCTCCTGGAATTTTACATTTATATTCCCAATAGTTAGTGAAGCAAGATTTGGATCATGAAGTAGCTGTGACATGAATGGTTTTAGAAAAAAAAAAAAAAAAACAACCGATTACTTTAGACCAAACTCAGTGTTATAAACAAACAAGCACAACACAAATTGATATTTTTTTCATACTCTACATCTCTCAGCCTGTCTGTGTTGCTTAATGCAGTACTGCAGAGTTCTTGGGGCAAGGTCTACACCTGAATAGAATTGAATCATATAGAGCATCAGCATCATGTTGGTAGGTATAGTTTTCAATGACAGGACATTGCTCCTGTTTGATTTGGATAATAAGCTATGGCTATATTGGAATTTATGTTTATGTAAAGGCTTTTTTAAGCTAGCATAATTTTTGCAAGTGTAGGAAATATGAACACAAATGCAAACAGTTCATACTCTCAGCAGCATTTTTCATACCTTTTCTTAATTTCAGAGTTGAAGAATAACTTACATTAAAATTACTTGGTTTACTTTCTTAAGTATCCATAGCAATGTTATGACTAAAGAATATATAACTAAGCCCAGGTGAATAACCACTATAAGCAACACGTAGAGATAAAAGTTTGCAGTCCTGCCTGATGCACCTGCTGCTAGCTTACACTTCTGATATTTTGATCAGCAGTTGAAGCTATGTACCTCTAATTTGAAAGGTGTGCTATATAGCACACTAACCATTTCTGTTTGGTTTTATATGTTGCCATGTGTTACACATTGTCACATAAGTTTGAAATGCTCCCTGAAGCCATGGAGAAGTTGTATTTGAAGCAATGGAGTATCTGTCCAGGTATACCTTGTAGTAAATTTTTGTCTTGGTATTTTTTGTTAACAGCAAGGTACCCAATATAAATACTGAGGTACTAAAAGCATAAAGAGATTGTAGGATGGAAATATGAAACTTTTCCAGAAGAAAAATTATGTCCATGTCTATAATTATGTCTTATTACCCTAAGTGTGAAAACAGATGTGTGCATTTATTGCTGTATCCCATGAAAATAAATCTTAACTTGTAGAATCATAGAATGTCTGGGCTGGAAGGGACCTCCAAAGGTCATCTAGTCCAACCCCACTGCAATAAGCAGGGACATCTCAAACTAGATCAAGCTACTCAAAGCTTCATCCAGCCTGATCTTGAGTTTCCCCAGGGATGGGGCCTCCACCACCTGTCTTCTCATTTACTAGTACCCCCAAGTCTTTCTCCAGTGGACTGCTCTCTAGCATGTCGTCTCCCAGCCTGTATTGGTAATGTTGGTTGCCCCTGCCCAGGTGCAGGACTCTGCACTTGGCCTATGTTGAACCTCATGATGTTCACCTGAGCCCACCTCTCCAGCCTGTCCAAGTCCCTCTGGATGGCCTCCTGTCCCTCTGGCATCTCAACTGCACCACCCAGCTCAGTATCGCCAGCAAACTTGCTGAGGGTGCACTTTGCAACTTAAAAGAGAATTAAAATTACCTTTTATGTTTAATGATTAGATTGGATGCAGTAGTTCTTCAGGAAAGCATTGAAGTTCTCAGAAGCTGAATATGAACTCAATGTTTTCCATGTTTTTAAAAGTTTTTTTCTTTCAAGACTTTTACTCCATTATTTTCAAGCTTTTTCAATACTTTTTTTGTTGAACAACTCTAATTACCAATGGCTTCATGCCATTCTCACTGTCACAAACATCATTCAGGATTTATTTCCAAGTCAGGTTGTAAGAGTTGCTTCCTACTCCTTGTAATAGCCAACTTTGGATCTGCAGAAGTTGAGCCCCTTCTTGGGGTCTGCCTGCCCTGAGCCCACAGCTTGGCTGCTCTCTGCATACCTGCTTCAAGGAGGGGTTGGTGGGCAGCTGGGGCTAGAGATGCAACACAGTGTGCTGTGTGCTGTGACAGAGCTCGGATGGCTGCAAATGAATTCCTTGAAAGCAGAAAATAAATAAATACACACACACACACATACATCCGTTATAGCACCGGCTCTGCACAGTGGTAATTCTTTCCACCAAATGTGCCTTCCTGTGCAGCATGGCACAGCCAGGACCCATGTATCTGGTCCAAATTCACCGTGTGCTCAAGACATGACCTCCACTTCCATTCAAGAAAATCTCCCCAGGGGGTGGATGCCACTACTAGCAAAATAGCCTGTGACTTATTACTTCCAACAGGAAGAAAGCTGGAGATTGCTTGTGGAAACCAGGTGCTTTTCTTTAGATAGGACACGACATAAGACACTGAAGTGGGTGGATGAGTGGTTAGGAAGATGGAGCTAGTAGTAGAAAACACAACTGGGAGTTCATGTAACATGTGAGCAAATACTGACATGGTGAGATGGGAAACTGAGAGTTTCCCTGGAAGAAAAGGAGCAATGTAGTTTTGTGTTATTTTTGCACTGATCTCTCCCTGTAGGTGGGTGTTCTTGTGCTGGAATAAGAACGTGCCACTGTGATTAAAAGATAGTTGTTCATGGTGTAGATTTTTTCCCACATGGAAGATTCCTGTGATGGGTAGTACAATTTGTGTAGAAAGGAGACTATGGTTAAACAATTAGGACGATATGTAAGGTGGATACTGAAAGGATGGGAAAGCTGGGGTCAGATTATGGTGGGAGAGTGAGAGGGGTTTGCCCTGACTTAGGAATGATGACTAAAAGCTTTTTCTGAATTGCTTATTTTATGTGATAATTTCAAGTCTGTTATGTGTGATTTTTCCCTTTCTTAATTAGTTGAAGTAATTTTCTGGAAACTGTAGATTGGTTCTGTAGCAGTGCTTCAGGGAAAAAGTAGGGATTGGGGGAGAGAAAACAAAAAAAATAACCAAGGAATCAGTAGCCTTCATGGTTTGTGCCTCGAGTCTCCATGTGTGAGATCCTTTGTAAATGGCTGCACTAAGCAGCATGCCGTAGCTGTAACAGCTAATCCTCCAGCTCCCTACCATGCCTCTTGACAGCACTTAAAATGCTCTTCTGTAGGTTACTGTGCTTGCTATGCTGATTTAATGAACAGCTTTGAAGTCACTGTTGAAAGCCTGTATTTAGGGAGGAGGCTTGCCATGCACCAGTGTGACTCTTAACACTGCAGATTAGAACTGAAATGTGTTCAAATTTGGAATACTTATTGAATACCAAAAGGGGAAAAAAGTCACTGAAGTCCTTTAGATGAAAAGGCTGTGCTTTAGTATTCAGTATTCTGCAAGCCATCTTTATAAATGTATTTGCAAGTGTTTAATCATACTTTTGTGGAAAGCGGCATGCAGTTTGAAATCAGAAATAACTCTTGCAACCTCTCCTCTTTACTTTTTCATAGAGACTTTCTGTGGTTTGTGTAGAAAATTACACTTTCCCATAAGCACTGTGGTAAGACTGCCATTTACTTAAGAAGGACTCGGATGTCATTAGATACGAACACTTCTCAGAGCTAGCACTAGATCTAGAAGAAAAATCTCATAATGGAAGTGTCATTTTGTTAAATCTAACACTTGTGAGCCTGAGGTATTCCTCTGATGTTTTAATATTGTAGAAGGCTGGCTTTCATGGTTTGTTTTGAAGAAACTTCTCATAGTAACTCATAATTTTATATTCTAACATATTTAGCTTAATATTGAAATTTGAATGAAAGTTTTAAGCTTCCTTTCAGCAGAGGAATCAAAAATATATTTTGTGGAATGAAAGACTTTAAAGTGAAAACTTCCCTTAAGATGCCAAAGTGACTTCCATAAAGACCCAGTGAAGGAGGCTTCTAATTGCCGTCAGCAACTCAGCAACACTGAGTGTATTGATGAACACAAAACATTTTTGTATGGCATTTTTCAATAATTCTGTTATGCAAAGAACACGCAGTTCAAATAACTTTTGAAACGGGGGCGAACACAGACTAATCCCATCTGTTCCCTCTTACTCTGCAAATCAGTTCTTCCAGCTTGGAAAGGTCAGTGGTGCCTGATTACCAGGATGTGAGCTGGTCTGTTAAGTAGGGAGTCGGTACTTTTGGCAAAGATCCCTGTACAAATTGGGAAATATTAAATGCTTTAGGCTTTGAGTTTTGCTCTGCAATTCAACTCATTTTTATCCTCCTCTGACTTCGGTATTTGTTGATTAAACTGCTGGAAAGTTTGTGTTTTTCAAAATGAGGTGTCTGTTACTAACTGTGAAACTTGGATTTCAGTTGTTTTTTAGACTGTAAGGTAATCATATCTTTTCAACTTTTTTTTTTTAATTTTTTTTTTTTTTTTAGCATTAAATTTTGTTTCCTCCGGTATCTTAAGAGCTCTTCTTATTTTCCTCCAGGAGACAGATGAGCAGAAACGTCACAAAATTGCCAGTGAACTTCTTCAAACAGAAAAAGCTTATGTTAGCCGACTTGACCTTCTAGATGGGGTACAGTTTCTTGAATTTGTTTTTATTGTCTTGCTTTGAATTCACTTGAATGGCTGTGCATGAGTGTGTATATAAATTACATAAGAGGTGGAATGCATCTCACATTTTGCTGACTTTTCCAGTCAGCCGTTTGCTCTTGCCACATAACTTTGCCCTTGTTTCTTTGAGAACACTATGCTTTTACAAGTATAAGAATTTTGTGGCTATTAATGCAATATATTCTGCTTGCGTAGATGTCACCATAAGCAATAGTAGTGCATTCTGGTAGCCTTTCCAACAAAGAATATGGATAACCATGTTTTGGCTTCTGGTGAAACAGGGAAGGGTATCATTTTATAATACTGAAATCAACCCCTGGAAAATTACTAAATCTTTCAAACTTGAGCCACTTGACTGTGTCAAAGAACCTAGGAAGATGCCTGTTCTAAATGGTATAACCTCTATTTCCCCCAATATTTTTAGACTAAACATAATACATGTAGTTTTCCCCATATTATGTCACCATAATATGTTTAGACTATTGAAATGAACAGAAATTCCTCTTCCTGCAATGAAAGCTTTGAATTCATATGCTCTGTAGAATCAATATGGTATTTCTTACATGTGAAAGTCTGTAGTTCTTGAGTACTTACCTTTTTAAGTCTTTTTTACTTTCTCACATAACACTTACATCCATTTTACCTGGATACCTGTAGCTTTGCATTGCCTTACTCCGTTATGTTTTTCTCAGACATCACTGTTTACATTTCTCAGGTCTAACCCATGAGCTTGTAAAAGCAGTTGATGAAAAGTAAAAAGTCTCAACTGCTACAATAATTGTTTGGACTGCTTGGGGATCTAAGTAATTGTTCTCGTGAAAGTGGATTTACCTAGCAGACCAACATTCGGATGGACAAAGAGTGTGTTTTAAAGGACAAAGCATTGAAAAATTTTAAAAAGAGCTTTTTATTTAAAAAAGTTTAAAAATTAAAAAGCAAAATTTTTACTTAATTCATAGGTTTTTCTGATGGGAAATGTACAATTGTTTTCCTTTATGCGATCATAAGTGCATTCCTCCTATGTCTGTTTTCCAAATATTAACTGGACAGAGTTCTGAAATGTGAACTTCAAGCTCAGCTTCAAAGTCACTTGTTAAAATTAACTGTCTTCTCAGAACTGCAACAAAGTGAGCGTGTTTTAAATTGTATGTGGAAGTGTATGGCATTTTTCCTTCTGTAAGATACTTTTGCTGTCTCAGTTGGGATTATCAATGTTCTTAGCTGCAGACTCTTTTCTTCCTTCCCAAGCCCTTACCTAAATTTCTAAAGACCTTTCTGGGGAGCTGCAGTCTGTCTAAGCATGGGAGAGGGAGACAGAAGGGGCTGTAGCTCCCTATAAGCACTGTTTCATGTGATCTACACATTAATAGCTATACATGTCTCTAGCCATTTTGTACCTGCATCTGGTCAGGCAGAGCCCACTGATGGGGAAAGAATGTTTGGGGTTTTTTTTATGATGTAAAGACACTATAATAGAGTCCAATCAGAACTGGCCCCCTTTTGTGCTTTAAACAGTACGTGGGGACCACTCTTAGTCTGCCAGCTTTGATTTCAAAAGGATTAAGGGGGATAGAGCATACAAGGAGAGTGTTTGGGCTAATGGTGATCAGGCATCATGCTAATTGAAAGGACAGTAAGAGTGGAAAATACAACCAGAAGACTGGGAAAGCGAAGATGACCTAGCTGTGAAAACAGGCAGGATGCCTGGAGTCAATCCAAAATGGCACTACTTTGTATGGGGAGGAGAAGCTTTTAACTTCTGGTTACAAATGAGTTTGTCATAACTTGTCTATATTATTGAAAGCCTAATCTTGCCTCTGTTGGAGAAAGGGTGAAAGGTCTTCATCTGTTGATTAAAGATAATAGGCTGATAAGTTTGGGGCTTTTTTTCTGTATTGCAGGTATTCTATTCCAGACTCCTTGAGGAAGCCAACAGAGGTTCATTTCCAGCTGAAGTGATTAACAAAATCTTTTCTAACATTTCATCGATAAATGCCTTCCACAGTAAATTCTTACTTCCAGAACTGGAGAAGAGAATGCAAGAATGGTAAGAGGCAATTCACTGCTTAAAGTACTGCTAAAACCTTATCTGTAGAAAGTCTGTCACAAGGCTGAGGTAGGGAAGGTACCTTCATAATTAACTGCTCCGGGCCCAGGAAGTACTGTGGGTAGGAGAACATCTGCTCTTCCACTCTTCGTCAGGAGCTGACTCAGTAGAGAACTTGGACCATTTGCTCAAAATGAAGGACATGTATCTTACTGAAGCTGGTGAGATTACTCATGATTAAACGCCTTGCTATTTGGTCTGAAGTTCAGACTGAAATTGTGCTACCTGAATTCATTGCTTAGAATATGAAATCGAGATAAATACCGTGTGTGCATTTTGTGCTACCCCTGTAGCACGGTAACCTTTGTCAATATTGATTTCTGTAATAAGATGGAGTACATTTTTGTTCTGTCTTTTGGATTCCTGTTTGAAATAAAAATCCATGTCAGGTATATTTGGGGACCATTTTTCTCCCCAACTTTTCTTGACCTTTATTTGGAGCAAGGAAGAATAGCTGAGGTGTAAATACACTATGTAATGACCATGTAAAAATATCATAATGTCTTTATTCTGCTTCAGTGTATGTGATTCTGGAGAGATTAAAATATAGCAATGTATTTTCAGTCTCTTTTATGTAATTGTGCCCCCCCCCCAAAACAAACAACCAAAAAACAAACAAACAAACAAACAAACAAACAAACGAACAAACTCCTACACCAGTGCTACTTTCCTGCCTAATTTGGAAGGGGTCACCTCATTTTAAAAAAAAAAAAATTAAAATTGCAAATATTGTTTCATCCAGTAGTTCACTCCTGTATTCCATGTTATCTGGGGTTTATTATGAGGATTTAAAGTATTTGTTCATACATCTTTTCCAGTTACACATTCATATAAGTTCTTATTTGTCAAAAAAACACACTAAAAATTGAGAAATAATGTAATTTTGTGACATATATGAAGATCTCGGATCACACAGTCATGCTTCAGACAACAGCTCTTATGTCTCCTGAATGTGTACGATGATTCCACTTTAAAATCATGATTCTTGAAAACAGAATAGTTTCCACGGACAAACACATGGTAGATGTGTATATTCTATAATGCAAGAAAGGAAGTAAAATGTAAGCATTGGGAAATACAGGAAAGCTTAACTTATATTCCTTGCAGAATGACCATGTAAGGTAAACCCCCCCCTTTTCTTCTAATCATTTGGAAAAATCTGATAGGAAATACAAATGCCTCGATTAAAGTAGAGTGCATATTCAAGAGAAGTGGAGTTTAACTTGCTGCAGTTATGTTTAAAAAGCAACTTAGGCTACATTTATGTCAGTGCTGCATATATTTGAAATTAAATTTGTGACATGCTCTTAAAATTTTGCTCCAGATACTTGATAGTGCACAGAAAATAGGTTGTACTGCCTTACATATTTTCAAAATGCTACATCGCTCGCTAAAGTCATTTGTATAATCATACAGCTTCAAAGGTTGAAAAGTGCTTTTGCAGATGAGCTTTGACTGTTGATGCAAACTAATAAACTGCATCATAAGGATATTATCCTTCCCACATTGCTTGGAGACAACCTCTGTGCTGTACCTGAGACAGCTTGTTTAAAAGTCCTTAAAACATTAGGCTTTTGGGAGGAGTTAGAAGAAAGGATGAAGCTGAAGAGAACTATTTCTGTTCTTTGCTGTAAGAAAAATCTAGGATTGTGTTTTTCTTCCCATCAGTATTCTCAGAAATTGTCTGGCACAACAGCTTCTGCCCTATAGAGAGTTCACTTTCCTGAGCAGTTCCCCTTATTAGATGTACCAATAGGAATACTTCAGTATTTTCTATATTTATGCACTTGTTCTATCACTCTTTAGCTTCCGATAAAAGTAACTGGATAAAATTGTTTTACATTTTCCATGAGTTATGATTTGTTTTAAAAAGTTAAGGTAAGAATATACAATCTTTCAACTGGAAAGCAGATGGGAAGCAGATTCCTCTTCCTTAGGAAAAAAAAGGCAGTGTGAATCTAAGCTTACTGAGTAGAAATTAAATTGTCTGGTAGCTGCATTTTGAATGAGTTGAGCAACAGCTGGACCTGAATATCTTTTACAACATATGGCTTGAAAACACTGGAAACAGCCTTGTTGCAATATATTTCCTATGAGAAGACCAGAACAGAGCATAACAGTGATCCCACATCAAACAAAATACCTGCTGTAGCTCTGTTTTATGTACCCAAGAATGACCAATAGAAGATCCCTGGGGATGAATGTAAGAAAAACAGGGTGATAGCCTCTGGGAGGGCAGGATGTGAAGAAATTATTTCACTCTTTCAACATAACGTTTTAGAATCTGTGGTAACTCAGAGCTGACCTATTTGTCTGATTTGTTGCTTTCAAATGGCAACTTTTGGTTCTGTTGGATGCCTATTAGCTTGTATACTGGAAGACAAAGCAGCTGTTCTGTAGTTATATTTGCTATGCTCCGATTTTACAGACTTTTTTTATTTTCTTGCAACCGTGACCATTTTAAATGAGATGCTACTATAAATAGTAAATCCACTCTTTCATGTTTGAGTTTTTAGAATGAGAATATGCATGCCATAGTTTTCTGATAACAGAAATACATAGTGTTTCTGTATCTACATTACAATGTGAAGTCCTATTTCTTGACCCATAAATGATGCTACCTTTGTTGTCTGTCAGTTGTGCAGTGCTGATTTTGGTGCATGATTCTGTTTCTGATGTCTTTGTCCAAGAGAACAGTAACTGCCCTGGACCTTAGGCAATTTACCAGAACTTCATATTTTGCCTCATGGTGTTTGAGTGTGAGATGAACTCGTTATCTATTCTTGTAAGTGTACCGAGGGAGGGTGCACATCTGAGAAGGTTCTGCTTTCTGTAACTCCCCCTGACCTTCCTATTCTTTTACAGCTCTTTGTGTGATGTGGACCTTGTCTTTCTTACATGAAATGATGATGAATTTGTGTTTTTACAGGCCTTACTCTTTGGGACATATAAGGGCCTTGCATGAAAAGTTAGTTGTGAAATTTTTGAATCTTCAGAAACAGTGAAATTGCAGGATGTAAATGAGCTGCTGAAGGTGTCCAGGGAGCAGGCGGTGCACACTGTTCCTGCTTCTTTATAAAAGTTTTTACATTTTCTTTTCATGTCTGCCTAGTAATAGTTGTGAAAGTAGAAGTCTTATTGCTACAGGTTTTTTTCTGCTTTAAGGTTTTTTTTAATTGTAAAATTTTAAATTACTGATCTGTTAAATTGACCAGTAAACTTTAATATCTGTGGGAGTTTTTTTTCCTGGTGACCTGTAGAAAAGTATTCACATTTCCTTCTGTGTTTTTTTTTAAATTTTCATCATTTGTATTTTATTTTCACTTAAAAAATTATGCTGCAACATTGCAATAAAATGGCAAATCAGGGAAATAGTGTTCAGTGAATAAAAGGAGTGGGGTTTTGTTTTAAGTTGCTAGCTTGCCTTTGTAAGTGTATGTGTCTGCTTGGCTATAGAATGGCTGAAAAAATATACGCAGCTAATTAAGGGTGATTAAGACTTGGTGATTTCAGAGACAACTTCCCACTCTGTCTTGTCCCCTTCTCTAGTTGCCAAGGCCAGCAGTAGCTCAGACCTCTGTAATGTTGTACACAGGTGCTTTATGCTCTCCTCTCGACAGCTGGCACTGGACCAGCCTTTGCCACTGGACCAGCCTTTGCCACTGCTGGCAATATTCACTATTCAAATAACTTTTCCCTTCTGCACAGCTTTTCTCTTTGAGAAGTGGTGCGTTGGAGTAGACTGCTGAAGTAATTGCTGTAGATTCCTTCCCTTTAGACCACTACTACAACATTGATTTCACATTTTCAGAAGTCCAGAATCTGTCCTTGAAAATGAAATGTGAAACATGTTTCCTATTGTAGTTCTCGGAGGTAGATGCCTGCCATTCCACTTCTTTGTGTGCATCAAGAGTGCAGCTTCTCTCCGTCTCTCCATCAGCTTCTTTACTATTTTGTTTTATTTGAAGGTGCTTTCACTAATTGGGAAATATGTGGGAAAGTTCTCACAAGATACTGAAATCCAAGAGATTCTCTCTACTTACATAGGTTAGATAAAGAATGATTTTTAGAAGTTGTAAATACATGTATGTATAAAAGGTACAGAAGGCAAGATGTACAGTATGGATTTAGTCCTCAAACAAAACTACAGGTTAGATATTCAGAGGGTAAAGTATGCTCAGAAAAAGAGAATGTAGTTTTAAGGGACTTCAAATAGAATAAATAAGGCTATGGTTTTTAAACAAAACCTTTGAAGTTTTTCATTATAGATAGATTTTTCTTTAGTGCTCTACATGACCTATAATGCTTATACATCATCAAAGAGGTCACAAAGACTCTTTCTATGTTAATTCTGGTCAGTTTTAATGGTTATGCTCTATAGAATGCAATCCCAAACAGAAGGATCCTCTATTAAATGCTCAAAACCGTTTTATAATAGTGTGTGTGACATTTTTTCTTTCCTGTTTGCACTGAGATTCCACCCTCCTTTGCAGGACAACCACCCCAAGAATTGGAGATATTCTGCAGAAGTTAGCTCCTTTCCTAAAGATGTATGGAGAGTATGTGAAGAATTTTGATAACGCAATGGAACTGGTGAAAACGTGGACTGAACGGTCACCTCAATTCAAATTCATTGTTCAAGACATTCAGGTATGGGGGAGAATAATGGTGATCTCCAAGTAATACAATTATGTATAAATGTGTATAGGTTTGTGGGTGGAGAAGAAGGATTATAGAGAAAATAAAATACCAAACCTCTTAGAATTAAGTGTCGTTTTTGTCTGCTTCAAATCACGTTCTGTTTCTTCTCCTCCTCCCCTCATATGTGCACAAATAGCTACACACACAAATCTGGCCTTTCCAGTGCAACACAGAGGACCCAGGTAGAAAGGCTGAAACAGGAGAAGACTGAACAAATACATTTGATCATAAATACCAAAAGTAAATACTGGTTTAGGATGAAGTGATGTATCAGTGCAACTGTAGATCTTGCACTGAATCTGTAAGCAGTCTGTTGGCTCACAGCAGTGCCGTTGTGCGGAGCACTACGCTTTGGAAGTAAGTGTACAATCTTAAATGCTGAGCCAGAAAAGGTAAAGAAAGCTTAACAGTTAGGCAATGCACCAGTCTTTCCAAAGGTGCCTTTTGTACCCTGCAGTGCTCCCTCTAGGTTTCTCTGTGAATTGGCAGGTATGCGTCTTCCTACTGCAGACTGAGCAGCTAAAATTGGGTAATGTATTTCTGCTTAAATTTTACTGCTCTGTAGGGTCTTGTGACTCTAAGCCGAGGGAAACAAATGTGTATCTTAATGTAAACTTTTAATTACATCTAAGATTATGAAAATGAATATGCATCTTAAAACACTGCAGAGGGAGTTTACATTATAAATGAAACTCTACAGATTCCCTTGTCAGATAGGTGAAATATACCTGTGAATCTCATTTAAGCATGTTTTTCTAATATGTGGTCATGAACTGTTCTTATTAATTCAGTAGTAATTCTCGTCAGAGATATTAGATACATAATTTAAAATGTGCTGCAGTTTGGAGATTTTGTTGTAGGACTTCTATTAATTGGACACTTCTGGATACTAAGGAAAGTTTTTACAATGATTTTTAGGAAAGAATTTCTAATTGTTTGGTTTGGTAAAGTAGTTCCATTTTCAGAAGGTCTATCACGCATGTTTCAAAATTCATTATTTAAGTTTCATCAGTCATAACTTTTATTTTACTATATCGTAATAACATTTTTGCCTGCTACATTGAAATATGTTTGCAATTTTTTAGAAGGAAAAAGTGTGTGGAAATTTGACATTGCAACATCACATGCTAGAACCAGTACAACGCATTCCACGCTACGAGATGCTTCTAAAGGACTACCTAAGGAAATTGCCTCAGGATTCCCTAGACTGGAAAGATGCTGAAAGTAAATATATTCTAGTCCTTGAAATAGCTGAAATAACGTAGCTGTAAGAGGGTGCTGTAAATGAAAGATATTTTCAGGAAAAATAAAGAAGCAGAGTCCCTCTGAAAAAAAAATTATAGAAATTATTCTTAGAAAATAGTTAGTGGAGTTGTACAATTCTTTAAAAAAGAATCCAAATAGTGGATGAAGTTAATATAAAAACTGTAAAGCCCTTAGTATTGCCCTCCTGCAGCACATAAGTTTTATTTGAGTTTTGGAATAGTGCACAAGTTTTGAGTTGCTTGCTTTGCAGATGATTGGGGTGGTTTTTATCTTTTTGTTTTTGTCAGCATTTTGGTTTGCTTTATGCACATTTGAAATGTATGTCTCTTATTTGTGAAGAAGTGGAATTAAACTCATTATTGTATTTTTTAGCTCCCATAGGGAAAAAGAAAATTTAAACTTATTCCTCTCTGTATTTACACAAGAACAGTTCAAGATACTTCCACAGATTGTTCAAAATTAATTGCCAGATACATTTTTTTAAAAAATATTTCCATTTTTTTCTGTGTAATATATAAATATGTAAAATCACAGCTTTTGGGCTTTACTTTTTCCTTTTTCTCCTGTCTAGAATCCCTGGAAATTATATCTACTGCAGCAAGCCACTCTAATAGCGCAATAAGAAAAATGGTAAATGATCCTTGTTTCCTATTCATTTTCAAATATTTTATATTTGAGTATTTGGTGAAGCTAGGAGTGTGACCTGCAAGTCTTCTCTAAAGTGGCAAAGGTGTATTTCCTGGGTTTTCCTTATTGTATTTGTACTGGGAAAAAAAAAAAAAATATATATATATACACATATACATATATATATACACACACTGGGAATAACAGACAAAATTTGGCATTGCACCTAATTGTCTCAGGTAGAAAATGGGACAGATTGGGCTGCTCTCCAGACTAAGGTAGCTGACACTACACTGGACTCTTAAACTTGTTTCATCTGTTTCTGTCAGTGGAAGGATAGTCCTTGTCAAGAGCAGTTCCTGTTTCTCTGCCACATTGGGCTGGCACAATAGGTACTTCATTAAGTACATGAGATATTTTGGACAAGAAATAATGCAGGCTGTATGTATAACTGCATTTTTTAAACTACCACGGAGATAACATTTCTAAAAGTACTTGTTACTGTATCAGCTATGTTAATCAGTCTGTATGGCTGACCATGCATGCTGGGTATATACATGTCTTTCAAAGCTAACATTCTCCAGACTTACGTATGCTCCCATTGTTTCATTTAAACGTGCTTAAAGATCTGTGCTTCTAATTAAAAAGTTTTATAACTGTATTTTTGACATAAAGGAAAACCTAAAGAAATTGTTAGAGATATATGAGATGCTGGGAGAAGAGGAAGACATTGTGAACCCTTCAAATGAACTGATAAAAGAAGGACAGATCCTCAAGCTTGCTGCTCGCAACACGTCTGCTCAAGAGCGTTACCTTTTCCTGGTAAGGATGGTGCCCTGGGATTGCAGGAGTGGCTGCATGCCTTTCTAGGCTTGGACAGCTAGAGAGGGAAATCCTCTCCCAGTTGATGTCAATGCCCTTCCACTAAGAAAACACCATTTTGAAAAGAATACATGGTTTTAAATAAATGGAAGCAATGTCTGTCAACTCAGTTTTAAATGGGTGGCAGCTGATTAGAATAAATGCAGGTCCTAGAGCATGAGAACTTTGAAATGAAAATGAAATGCAAAAGCTGACTATATTAGTCCTGATCAGTTGTCTGTGTTGGTATCCCAGTAAGTGTCGTGGTCCTGTGGCAGCTTGTTATCATGGCAGGTCATCTTCTTGTGTCACAGGTGCCTGTGTCCCATCTTGGAACTGGAAAAACTACAGCTATGCCTTCTTGTTACTCCCTTGGAAAGTGTTTGATGTTGTTCATTGCTTCCCATACACTAAAATTTGCTCATACATTTTTGCTTTTGGGCCTCTGGCATTGCAGGCCTTCTGGTTAATAAAGGCTATTAACGGGTTATAGAGGCACAACTCCTGCTTATCTGTGCTTCAAACAAAAGGAGAAATCATTGAATAGTAAGACCTCAAATGGAGCTAGACAGCTGATTAAAATGATGTGCACTTCATCAGAGAGATGATAAGTTCAAACGTGCTGTGTCTCTGACACAGACTAGGCAATAGACTAGACAGCATTTGGATGAAATAGGATTTAACTGAAGTGAGTTTCTCTTTTTAATATTTAATTTTGAGAAAAACGTGAGGGAAGAAATGTGAGAAAATTAAACATTATAGATCTCATTAAATATCTGTGCTTCTAGGCTGTGGCTTTAGACATTTAAACATTTTTTAACATTCTCATCTTTAGTAAAGGCATGTATTTTTGTCCTGCTTATTGTTGTTTTTTATTTTTTTTTTCCTGAGATATTGAGGGGTTTGGTGAATAAAAACTCTTAAGAAATGTTCTCCTGTCTGGGAGAAAGACAAACATTGTCCTCAAATATTATTTACAATGTCTATAAAACCAAATGATTTTGGTACAGAGTAAATATAAATGTATACACCGAAGAGGAGAGTTCTTATTCTGCACTTTAGAATAGGTTTTGCAGAATTGGGGTGTCAGAATAGCTTTTTCTAACAAAAGCTTTACAGGTGTATGAAATTTCCAGTCTGAGTGTAGTTAAGTACTATGAAGGCTCCTGTATATACAGAGCAATAATTCCTATATTGTCCTGGTTCCGTGTAAAAAGGGGTCCAGGGCAGGACCCACACGGAACAGAACTATGTACTTGCCGCGCCCCCCCCCGAGAGAGAGAGAGAAACACTTTGGAAAAAAAATGAAGTATATTGTTCAACAAGGAACAGAAAACGAAAAAGGGAGGTAAGGAAAATAATATATACAAAGATTAGGGGAAAAAATACAAAAAGTAAAATATACAAACCCCTCAGAAATGGTTCCAGGGTCCCACGGAGTGAAAGGACAACTTTCCTCTCCGAGCTCCAAGGCAGGAGTGAAACTAGAAACCACTCCCTGCCTCTTATCAGAGTGTGTGTGGGAAGGGGAGGGAATACAATGGTTTCACCCCCACCTGGGGTCCTCCCAGTTGCTAGAAGGTCACGACCCCATTCCAAGCCTCAAACCACAACATATATCCATTGAAGCTGTCCTTTAATCTCATTTCTAAACAAATAAAATAAGAGGTTGTCTTGCATTAGAGCTTTGGTCTTCCCATATGTCAGCTGAGGAGGAAAGAACCTGCTTTCTCACCCGCTAAGTCTAGCTTTGTGATGTTGTCCAGCTCTCAATAGAAACTGTGGCTCTGTGTGTGTTTTTGTTAATACAAAGCCATGTGCTTTTTTATTTCTCAGTTTAACAATATGTTGCTGTACTGCGTCCCCAAATTCAGCCTGGTAGGATCAAAGTTCTCAGTTCGAACCAGAGTTGGTATAGATGGTATGAAGATCATAGAAACTCATAATGAAGAATATCCACACACTTTTCAAGTGTCTGGAAAGGAGCGAACGCTGGAATTGCAAGCCAGGTAAGCACTCATTTTATCTAGTTCTTGGAGAATTAAAAATATACATATGCAGAGTGGCCTAACATATTTGGAAAAAGTTGCAGTGAGCTTCTTAACATCAGCATTTTGAAAATCGCCTGTGGTGCCAAAAATCATAAATTGTCATTCCAAAAATCTTTTGAGTAGAAGATGCATCCAAAATTTATAGTGGATTGGCTTTGCAGAAATACCTGAGATAACTGTGAATGGGCTGGCTGGAAAATTGAAAGCAGCTTTCCTAGCTGTGTCTGAAGTGTGTCTGGGCAGTTCTGCTGCCTCTGGTACCTGAGCCACCTTGGTACAAATATATCTGCTCAGCTCATGGCATGTCCACCCAACAAAATTCTCCAGTTTGTGGGGTTAATATTCAAAGAATATAGTTTTCTACAGTGGTAGATGGGCACCTGCTTTCCGCCATTCTTCAGGCCCATTTCCAGTCTACTTGTTTTCCTGCTGTCCCAGCTATCAACCTCACCCTGGGAGGCAAGTTCTACTCTCAGTTCTTTTGCCTTTTTCCTCCAGTTACATTCTTCTGACTGGCACTTTTCTGCTTTCCTTATTGGTCCTTGTATCCTTCTGTTGCTGGGTTACCTTCCCATTGCTGCTTTTTGTGTTGCCTAGACTACACCTTTCCTGTTTAGACTGTCCCACTTCAAATAAAGTAGGGTGCTCCACCTCTCCTTTGGAGCCTGGCTAAGGATCCTGCTCTTAGCAGACAGGATTTCATTGCAGAGAGGTGAGGAATAAATAAGCAGGAAGATGTCCATGGTGAATGCAGTTCTGTATTGACAACTTTATTTGGGGGCACACCATAGCTTGCTAGCAAATGAACTTGCAAGCTACTTTCCTTTGTGGGAAAAAAAAGAAAAAGTGATATTTAATGAGAGCTACAGCGGTGAATATAGAAAGATAACAGCATATAGTAATTTACATACACTATCTTTGAACTTAAATTTAAATATATACTTTGAAAAATGACAGGAAAAAGCTTTCCACTAAGGTCTGCAAGACTTCTGTGGCATGTTTTTGGCTATCAGTCACATCTACTATAAATTGCTTTGTGATCTCTTGCTAAGTATTTGGCAAGTTCTTATGCTATATACCAATTTCAATGGTGAAAGATGGCATCTTGCTGTACTGCTTCTGAAGCACTTTTTAATTGGAAGAAAAATGCTGCAACAAAACAAGTTTACTTTGTCAACTTACTCAAATAATCAATAATAAAAAGTTTATTGCATTAGTTTATTTTAGGTGTGAGAAGTATGTGTTTTTATTTTTCCTTGTTTTATTTTAGAAACATTTTTAGAGTCCACTAAGTCTGTACAAAATTGTGAAGGAATAAGTACCAAACAAGATTTTATTCAATTATATTAGAATAATCTTGATTATTGCATGAGTATTGTATGTAGCCTATACCTTAATGTCCTTAATTCGTCAGCTTGTATTAACAGTGTTGTAATGTTTAGTTTACCCTGGGGATTTCCTTACTAGTAGGCTTCTGTTTATTTGTCAGAATGATGAGTAAATTTTCAATCACTGTTTTCAAACAGCTGGTAGATTATTTCTTTGAGAGTTTGCTGATCTGGTACAACATTTAACAGCTCCCCTTTTGTTGTTTTTTTTTTTTTAATTGGTTTTTTTATGTTTTGTTGATGTTGTTTTAATGTAAACAAGCAGGGAGAATTATTTTGACTGTTTAGACAGATTTCTTCTGACTTGTATGTAGATGGTAGGTAGGAAGAGGAAACATGTTTAGGATTCTGCTTGCTTAAAAGTTTTACTAATACTACAAAACAATGTGTAAGGAGCCATTCTTATTGAGATGCTGCAAAAGCATTATGTTTCCTGAACTAGTTTTGGACTAATGTGTCAAATATTTCTTTCAGTTCTGAACAAGATAAGGAAGAATGGATAAAGGTAAATGCATCTACAGTTATTTTCTAAACACTTTTTCACTGAAGCAATCGAGAAAGTAATATTCATGTTTTCTGGCTGTAGCTTCCCTCTGCTAATCAATAACTAGTCAGAATGCAGAGAGTCTGTTTTACATGTAATACATTTGAGGAATTTCTTTACTGTTTCCTTAGGCGCTTCAGAATACTATAGAAGCTTTTCAGCAAAGGAATGAAACTTTCAGAAATGCTATTGCTAAAGAATACGAAGACATGCCTGTTGAGGTTTCTGTAAGTTGCTGTTATTCCTTTGTAACCTTTTTAGTACCTATTTTGTTCTTCAATAACTGGAAAAACTTTACCAGAAACTGGTTTCAAGCTCATCATTCCTATAGCAAAGGAATTACAAAATAGTCATCTTGTTGGTAATTGTTTTTCTTCATAATGCCAAATCTTATAAACAAGCCTTTTTTTTTCCCCCTTGAAATACATAACAGAGTACCCTTTCAGTGATGCACAACGATTTTGACTGGTTTCTTTGTTATTTCTTACACAGTCTCAAAATGTACCTTGAGCTATGTTTTACTATTTCCTGTTTAAAGGATGAGAATAATTATTTTCTCTATTTAAAGTACTGTGCATCCTTTTATACTGGCTTTTTTTTAATTTGTCCATCCTCCCTGTGCCCTCCTTCAGAACGCTGAGCTTGGGAAGAGAGCACCGAGGTGGATACGAGACAATGAAGTAACCATGTGCATGAAATGCAAAGAGCCCTTTAATGCACTGACAAGGAGAAGGCACCACTGCCGAGCGTGTGGACACGTAAGTGCAAAACCCCATCTGCTGTAGCTGGTGAGCAGGCTTGGGAATGGGTCTAAGCGCCTACTTGACTTCTGGTGCCTGCTTGTTATGCTGCAGGGTTTGCTGCTGCGCTGGTGGCTGAAAGGAGAAGCTGTGTGTAGCGTAGCACAAAGGATCCTCTGTCTGCTTTACTTGGCATGGTAAATTTGGAAGTAATTTGGAGCAGTGGAAGATGTGTGTTTGTGTAAATTGTCCCAAGCCCCTGGACATACTATACTGTAACTTCTGAGTGGCCTCCACTGTTTTCAACCGTTTCAAGACTGTATTAAACTGGCTTAAGCCAGTGTCATCCCTGGCAGCGCTGGCTGCTTCCTCTTCCCATTCTGCTGCCTCCTCTCCTCTTTGCAAGAAGATCATGGAGCCCTGCAGGTTTTCACTGAGTTAATTCGGAGCTGTTCCCAGCTGGGTTCAGTGTGTAACTGTGTGAACATGCATGAAGTGTCAGGGAAGGAGAGAAAGTTAGGCTGTGGGGGTGTGTTACTGCTGCTTTCCATGTGTGTTGCTACAGTAATATATGCCACTTCAAAATTACTATGAGACAGTGATATGACTTGAGAGTTTTCAGAAATTAAAAAAAGATGAAGAAACATACTGTGCTTTCTTTTCTTGCCATCCAGCAGCTCTGCCTTTCTCCAGCAGATGGTAGTGCAAGCCCAGGTTTCATTTTTGTCTTGCCAGTTATCACGTATGATTTCTTTCTAATGCTTTATGTGGTATCAAGGCTTACTGCAGTCACAGGGCTACTTTTGTGCTTTGAAAGACACTAGAGGCTTTTTCAGAATCTCTGAATTACTGATTATATAGTTGTCATCTGTTTTGGGTTTGTTAATCTTAAGATCACACCCTTCCCTTTTATTCCCCCTTTTGCTTAGATGCCTATCTACTTCCTTCTGTTATCATTCTTATCATATCTCCTTGCACTGCAATTTTAAAACATTTTTTCATGGTAATTTATTTGGGTCAGTGATGCTGTCTTTCCAGCAGTAACTAACTGGGAATACTTAACTTCTATTCTCTAGAGATACTAGTTGAAGGCAGTGATCTAGGTTAGTGCTGAAGAGCCCTGGTCAACAACAAAATTGTGTTGAGGTGTTTGAGTAGTTTAAGTCCATTTGTCTACCTTTCTTTCTTGAACTATACACATTTTTTATGCAGGCTATCTTTTTCACCTGAAAGAACATTTCTAGTTAAAGACCTTCTCTCTGATCTCTCTCACATTTCTGTTACACATATATATCTCTCTATATATATCTGTGTATCTACAGTGAAAAGAAAAAACTGTGATATTGGCTTATTTACTCTATGTACTTCAGGAACAGATTCTAAAAATTGTAGATTTGATATTTTTTAGCAGGTTAAAAAAAATTAGCTATCTCTGATTTTATGAATTGTTTTTATCATTAAAAGTGCATCTCAATTGTACATTTCTGAGGTTATGTAGAACACAAAATGGTAAATGTACCTTTTCTGGTTGGCATCTAAAGAAACTGGAGGATTTTCTTCCCACACCATTGTTTGTGCTATATTCTGATTCTATTCCTAACTTTAACCAGCAGAAATAATTGAAAGCCTAATGTGATTTTATGCAATGTACAAAATTCCACCAGGTAAATAGTAAGAAAGCACTTCTAGTTAAGAAATAGTGGCATAAATTTGGAAAATCATTATTTACAATTAAGTTATCATTGACATGTTATAAAGGCATTATCTTTCTTGTTCTGTATAATAAAACAATATAGTACTAAATAGATAAAATAGTACACAATTTTAATTAATTTCTGATTTCGTGAAGTATTATAAATACTTACATTTTCTATGTACGTTATCTTTTTTGTTTCTAAGGTGGTTTGCTGGAAATGTTCTGACTACAAAGCACATCTTGAATATGATGGCAATAAATTGAACAAAGTCTGTAAGGACTGCTATTATGTTATAATTGGTTGTACAGATAGTGAAGAAAAGAAGAAGAAAGGCATCTTGGAGGTATGTAATTTAAAAATACTAGATATGCATAGTTGCAAATGGTTTCTGCTCACCAGTAGGTGAAAAATGGTAGCATTCTTGCAGGGCTATTTTCTGACTGAGAAATAAAAAGTATGTGGACCAAGTACATCCCATCCAGTAGGTTTTGGTTTTCACCATTCATCTCTCACAATATTACTTTGTTTCTTTAAAGGGGGGAATTGTGAACCTTAGAGCTTGTTTGCTTCTTTCCTGTTACATCAGCCAACGTGATTGTCGTTACCGACACCCGA